GATTATGTCCTTTGGTCCATAATAAAAAATATTAATCTGAGGAGTTATGGTAATTATAACACCTTAAATATCCTTTAGGACAACCTTATTGTCTTTTAAAATCTTATTATTATAGTCTCGCAGCTCAACAAAATGGCCGCATGAGCTGCTAACTCGTGGCAGAGACTACGTTCAGTGATTAGAAAAGCATCCAGAATCCGCTGTTATCTTTCCTACAGTGCCCCAAGCAGTGTCCAGTGTCCTTAGCCATGTCCAGTGTTAAGTAGGAGCAGATATGCACTATGTTTTTAAGATGTAAGCAGCAGGATTTGACAATCGACTGGACATTAGGGGTGAAGGAGAGGTCTGAGTCAAAGAGAACACCTAGGCAGCGAGCTTGTGACGTGGAGCTGATGGTGGCGCCTTTAATTTGGAGGGAGACAGAAACAGGAGTAGCAACACTTGAAGGAGGAAAGACCAGAAGTTCTGTTTTGGACAAGTTGAGTTTACATACAGTTAGAAATAGCAGTCAGGCAGCCAGGCAGTCAGAGACGTGAGTCAAAAGGGGCCGGCAAAAGATCAAGAGAGGATAGATGTGTCTGTCCACATGGAAATGATATTGGAAGCCAAAGGAGCTGATGAGATTACCAAAGGAGGCAGCATAGATCGAGAACAATAGGGGACCAATGACTGAACTTTGGGCCACACCAACACAGAGGAGTTGGGGGAATGAGGCAGAGACAGAGAAAAAAAAACACTGAAAGAGTGCAAGGAGAGGTAGGAGGAACAACAGGAGAGAGCAATGTCTTGTAGACCGAGATTATGGAGGATCAGAAGAAGCTGTTGATGATCAAAAGGTGTTGATGGTCTGAAGCAGCAGAAAGGTCAATGAGAATTAGGATAGAGTAGTGACCACAAGATTTTGCAGTGATTAGATCATTGGATACTTTGGTCAGAACCGTTTCCACAGAGTGATGAGCACAGAAACCAGCTGGTCGAGCAGAGAGTTGGATTTGATAAAGTCTGTCTATCTCTCATAAACAAGTCTATTAAGTATCTTGGACGCAAAAGGCAGTAGTGAGATAGGGGGTAGTTGGATGGGGAGTTAGGGTCAAGGTTGGGCTTTTTCAGAATCGGGGTTAAAGTTGCATGTTTCAAGGGTGATGGAAAAATGCCAGAGGAGAGGGAGAGATTGACAATTTTAGTGAGAGGCAGAGCAAGAGAAGGAGATGAGATGCAAGGGAATAGGATCAAGGGAACAGGTGGTGGGGAAGGAAGACTGGAGCAGAATAGAAACCTCGTCTGCTATAGCGGGTGCAAATGAACATAGAACGGCAGAGGGAAGATAATAGAATAAAGGAGCAGCAGCAGCTATTCTGATTCAATCAAGGAATGATAGAACTAGCTTGTATCCCTTTCTGTAAAGCAGACAAGCAAAGCCTGCTTGTTCAAACCCTGGATTTACACTTCCTACAGATCCTAGACAGTAGCATATTTCAACAAATCTAAGAGAAGAGCACATTAGAATTAAAAAGAACCGAGACCAATGCAAACTACCAGATGGTATTTGACCACCATTTTCAGATTGCAGCAAAAGTTATCATACCATGGATGTCTGAGCCAGAAAGAGATGACTTACAAGCCAATCAGCAAATGTATAATTCTAGAGTTTCATTAGACATTATTATAGTATTTATATATTTATGTTATTTACCCTAAATATGTTTACATCTATATAGCATTGCTATAATATATGGTAAGCACTTATTCCCATTACGCAAAAGTGTTGCTATGTAAAAAGGTTTACATAATTATACTATTATTTGAGTCATCATTTTATATGCAACCGTACCTAAAATAGTTTTTGTTGCCCTCTAAAATTGAGAAAGTTGCACCAAGTTACCTAATCATCACTTTTCCTATTACTCAATCAAAGTTTCAATATAATAAAAAATTGACTTCATGAATAGCTTACATTCTGAACTTAACGCTAACGGATTAGTAGGCAAAAAGGCTCATAAAATTGGAGAATATTTACAGTTGTAGTCAATCCATTATTGAAGCCGTTAATTAAGCTTTTATGAATTGCATTTATAAATTAGTGGTACACAGAACATAACATGACAATTATTTATTAATAGTTTCAGAATCATGCAGAATCACTTTCTTCTTCAGTTGCTTCCGTGAGTGAATACGTTACAGAATAGGGCATTACAAAATGCAATGGTTCCCCTCTCTCGTGCCTTCTGTCAATGCATTATAGGACACTTGTCTCCCAGGGTGAAACATCAAAATGTGCTTTGTTTGGCAACATTATGTTAGAGTGAGAGAAAAGCTCACAATAACTATAAAAGACACAGACGCATCCAACCACACAGAACCTCTGACACCAAGCAACATTGCTGATCTGTTTAGGTATTCACAGATGAAAGAGCTACAAATTGGTGTTTGGTTCTCTGTTAGTGGATTTAATTATACATTGCAACTTAAAATGCTGGTCCATTATAACACAGTGACTGAACAAACAACAACAACACGTGTTTAAAGATTTATTATGAAAAGTCAGTGTTGACCAACTTTAAACACACAGATCATGTGTGGCCTTCAAAGTTTTTGTTTGTGACCCATCGTTCCAAAAAATACTTGCATCATTTTGCATAAATTATTAATATTATGGTTTCCCAGTTTTCAAATCTCTATGACAAGCATGTCTAACCTTGAATCTCCAGCCAATGGTTGGCAGAAAATTACGGGATACATAATCCAACAGAAACTCTGAAGAATAACATTGAACATCTGCTCTGATATACAACCCTTCTCATTAAATCTTGCAGAACACTAATAAACATACATTTATTTTGTTTTACTGTTTTTGTTTTTTTAAAACTAAGTATATGCCACAACAGATAATCATTGAAAACGAGATAATTTATCATTTCTCATTTTGCATATCTAAATAAATGTCAACTTATTTCAAGACCCAAGAACACAATCTTGCTTCTTATCAAATGTTAAACTGTTGGTAAAATAAAATAACACATACAGTACCTCATAGGATGTTAACATACTTTCAATGCATTTCTTAGAAGACTTTCACTCTTTTCCACAATCCTGCTATTGCTACAATATACAGTATCATTTTTACTGGTGTTTCTATTATTTTTTATGTTGACAATGCTACTTTATATCTGGGAAATACTGACAAGAAATAAACCAGTGGTTAAAAAAAAAACACAACTTCATTATGATCATACTATCACTTTGCATAGTTATTTTGTGAAAGAGAAGAGGTATGCCCTGTATGCAGCGAGAGGGTTTTGCCAAATCCAGAACAGGGCCACTCAGACCTCCAAATCTGGACGATGTTCATACTATTTAGCAATGTCCGGATTTTGCAATTCAGGCCCTCCAAATTGACCTTAGTTGGGTCCTTTTTAAAGCTGGATCGAACACTGCAAGATGGCTGAAATACAGACTGAATACTGCAAATTTGGGTGCAGATTTAAAAAAATATTTTTTGGCAAATAGTTAAAATAAATTTGTGGCATGAAGGTTAATTATGTGGTGGCTAGCTAGCACTTGCTAGACAACTGGCATAATATAAAGTAAAAGAAAAAAGAAAACCATAAATAAAGAGCCTCTGTGAAGTCAATAAGATCCCCATATAATTGTAAGTAAGGTTTTAAACCTCCTTATGTCCCTTGCTCCCAGTGCTATATGGCAGATGGGGCATATCTTTGACAATATGTTGGGGCATAGTTCCTCCTTATGCCCCTACCCATGGGCATTGAGTGGAGGCTAATGGACAAAATAAACAGGGTGGGGGCTTGTATTAAATTGTGGGCAGATAATTTATAAATAGAAAATAGCTGGTCTCTAGAATGTAATTTAAGTAATTCTATAAATATATTAGACTCAATATTTAATAAATGATAACCTGAATCAGACTTTGTAAAATACTATCCTCAGTTGAGCAAAATAGTTTCACAAAACATTGATCCACTAAATTCACCATACAGAATGAAATTCTGCCTACATTAAATATATGCAAGCATATTTGTTTTGAAACTTACATAAATCATTAGAATTATTACAATTATTATAGCAGCATTTCAATAAAAGTTAAAATAAAGGTTTTTACCAAAAACTCAATTGTTATGCCCTTTGAATTTCCTCCCAAAAAGTTATAAAATGTTCCTTTTTCATATGTGTATGCATTTCTTTTAATCATTTAATTACAAGCAACTTGTGGTTCTCGTTAGCCTCCTGGCATGTTGTTCCTTGTTGCTTTTTGAGTGATTGTACTTGTCATACTATTTTTTGAAATGATAAAAAGATGCTGAATTTCATTAATGTAGTTCACTATCAGTTTAACCATGGATTAAAAGTGACCAAAGCCTTTGCTAATAGTTTTATAATCCTTTTTTAGTCTCAAGAAAAGTGAAATAAGTTTTTCTGAGGTCTTAATCTATTTCGACCACACCTTGATTCACTCCACAAATATTTGACTCATATTACCCCACTGACAGATTTGATTGCTCTAAACATTCACATATGGTTTATAGCAAAGACTGTGGATACTGGCTCAATAAATGCATTAAAGACAGTTAATGTGATATTAACATTACATATTGTCTTTTTTGTTTTGCTAGGTACTACAGGTAAAAATAAACTAGTAGGATTTACAAAAGTATTTTCAAAAGACTAGCCTAAGCCCTAATGACTCATCAATAGGTGATGCATAGAGATGAGAAGAACTGGTATATTGGAAATCACCCAGACTGCAATATATTTTAAAATTAAGAAGACGATCAGTGATTACATTAGAGAGTGATGATAGGACTTACAATTTAGCACCAAGGATCCCTGTTGTGTCAAAGTATATTAGTGATTGGGTGTCCAGTGTACATGTATGCAGACGAGGAAAGGTTAAAGGATCTTAACATGTATAGCTTGGAGGAAAGACGAGACAGGGGGGATATGATGGAAACATTTAAATACATACAGGGAATCAACACAGTAAAGGAGGAGACTATATTTAAAAGAAGAAACACTACCAAAACAAGAGGACATAGTCTTAAATTAGAGGGACAAAGGTTTAAAAATAATATCAGGAAGTATTACTTCACTGAGAGGGTAGTGGATGCATGGAATAGCCTTCCAGCTGAAGTGGTAGAGGTTAACACAGTAAAGGAGTTTAAGCATGCGTGGGATAGGCATAAGGCTATCCTAACTATAAGATAAGACTAGGGAGTAATGAAAGTATTTAGAAAATTGGGCAGACTAGACGGGCCGAATGGTTCTTATCTGCCGTCACATTCTATGTTTCTATGTTTCTATGTTTCTATTTGTCAAGATCACTTGTGAATAGTTTTAATAGGGAAATAGAAAATGTTCATGAAAGTCATCTTCCATTATTCCTTCCTTTTTATTTTTGGTAGTTTGATCTTATAATTGTAAATTATGCTGATAACTCTACCATTAAGCATTTTCTATTCAAATTTGCTTTGAAGTAAAATTTCTGTTGAGGTAAAATGTACAGCATTTGACGGTATTCCTATGATACATGATACTTTTCATATTGATGGTAAACTATTAAACTTTGGTCAGTATTAATTGCTCTATGTAAATATTTCATAATTTTCTGAAAGCGGTTTAATTGAATGCAGACCACCATTATCTGTAATTGTCTGGATTATGGCCAAAAGCACACCTCAATAAAAAAGATGGGATTACATAATCTCTTTTCATATGTGTGGTCTGTATCTGACCATTCCATTTCCTTTGGAGAACATTATTAAAGTGATCTATCTTAAAATGGTCAGTTGCCATTTCTGATAAATGAGAGAATCTTGCTCTGGCCTTCTGTAGTACCTTTGGGATTTAAATAAAGTTCTCTAAATAAATAACTGTAAGCTCATAAATATGTTATTATATGCATCAGTTTTTTGGTTTTTTCAGTATGTCAACAAATAACCGGTTAAGATAGAATCTCTATGGAAATCACATAGTAAAGTTTGCATAGGATACAAAGTTATAAAAAGATTTTATTTTTATTTTTTTAGTTCTAAAATTCTTACACAAAAGTGTTTAGAAGGAGCAATGATAAAAAGGGAGAGGTTCACTGATGTAAATTTTTGATTTGACTTATGTCTAAAGTGAGTAAAATCCTTCCTAACTCTCTCTTTATGTTTGCTACACACTAGCAGTAATTATGCCTTCTTGTTTCTGCATAACAAATACTAGCCTGGCTACCACCCATGTAGTGGCTATATACATGGATAATTATTCCAACACCATGCATGTGCATGGACCATTTGATAGGTATTTCTATTTTTTCACTCACCTGCATCTCCTTGCAAGGAACAAGGCCTTAAGTGAATGATGAGAAAAACACTTTATGTGTGTTTTGAATAGCAATTTCATTAGTTGCTAATGAGAGGTTATTGATTAATACACTTCTAGCCAACACTTCCTGGTTGAATGAGTGTATTTGCCTCAGTGATTCTAAAGTATAGAAATTTGTTGTTAAATGCAGTAGAGAAAGGGGTTAAAAGGATCCTCATGAAAATCTGGTAGTTCACTTAGTTTATATTTTGCTTTAACATTTTAGGTAACATAATTACATAATTAGGAAAAAGAAGTTGTAAGTAAAAGAGGCTCTTTGGTTTATTCACTTCACTGTTAATGTGAATCTTGATCATTTAGGTGGGCTTAAAAAGCCACGTTAGACAAAATCTTAACAATACATGGAAGATATGAAGTTCAGTGTTGCAAGGTGAATATATAATAATGAAATTATGAATATTATAATGAAATTATGCCACCAACATATGAACTTTTGAAATGGTCAAGACATGTTATATATATTGATATACAGTTGTAATCAAACGTATTCAACCGCCCTTGAAAATCAGGTTTATTGTCAAAACTTACAGACTTTCAGCTGTTTGCAATGTACAAATCAAACAAAAGCAATCGAAATAGCTCAACGCAATGAATGTATTTAGCGGTTTCCCCAAATTTAACTGAAAATGTAACTTATAAACTTAAAAAACATGTTTTAAATGTTTATCATTAAACAAAAAGATTATTCAGTGAGTGAATTGTATAATTACATTTTATTCTCTAAAGTGAAAATTCAAGATGAATTTCAAATTTAAGGTCAAAATAACCAAATTGCAAAAATTCTCTAAGTCAGCTACAGTATCTCACAAAAGTGAGTACACCCCTCCCATTTTTGTGAATATTTTATTATATATTTTCTTATGACAACATTGAAGAAATGACACTCTACTACAATGTAAAGTAGTAAGTGTACAGCCTGTATAACAGTGTAAATTTACTGTCCCCTCAAAACAACTCAACACACAGCCATTAATGTCTAAACTGTTGGCAACAAAAGTGAGTACACTTACTGCTTTACATTGTAGCAGAGTGTCATTTCTTCAGTGTTGTCACATGAAAAGATATAATAAAATATTTACAAAAATGTGAGGGGTGTACTCACTTTTGTGAGATACTGTATGTGTCCTGTTTCAGTGTTTTGGGCTTAAATTTAAAATTCACTTTGTATTCTTACTTTAGAGAATAAGCCTGCTAATTATATAGCCAGGAAAGCAAAGCCATTTTCCTGGCACTATAGATTTCTAAGGTGCCCCACTCCCTCGCGCCCCCCTTCAGTTACAGTTACCTGAATCCAGTGACGATGTCCCTAGGTGCTGGGTCAGGCTCCACCCATGCTCCTCCCCCATCAACGTCAGCCAGCGGGAGAGACATAATGCGCATGCGCGGTAATGGCCGCGCTCGCATTATGATTTCCCTATAGGAAAGCATTAATCAATGCTTTCCTATGGGGAAAATGCTGTAGTTGAAGGTCCTCATGCAGAGCATGAGCACATCCAGCGTCAGATATCAGACCACAGGTCCATTTCGATTCAGGAAGCCCTCTAGTCTCTGTCTGGTACACAGCCACTGTGGGCAGTCCTAGAGCTGCAATGGAAACATTGCAGTGTCTCTGGTACAGCAATGTTTTACTTTGCAGCACTACGTGCAAATTGGGCACAGCACCCCACTTCAATACGCTGAAGTGGTCTGGGTGCTTACAGTGTCCCTTTAACAGAATATAAATATATTATTTTATCCCATAGCCTTTTAATATTTCTAAAACATATTGACTAAGGCATGTCATCCCAGCTCACACGGCTGATAGACTTACCTAGTAGCCTTCAAACCTGGGCTGCTTCTGTGTAGAGCTCTTGTGCTGATTATTTTAGGGACATTCTCTGTTATCAGAAGCAGGAGAACAGAGGAAAAACACCAGGATGGTTTTGTCAGTTCTGTCAGATAGCTGTGTATTAATAATTAAATAGCATTATAGACTAGCGTATATAATGCAATAAACTAAGCTAGTATATTAAATACCAAATATGTGTATATGTGTGATAGAGAACATGTTCTAAGTATTAGTGCATATTAGTATTTTACCAATTAGTATATTCCCTTTTTCGAAATAGTCATGCAGCATTGCTAAAAAAAAAAAAAGGCTTAGAACATGTTTGAAATAATTCTACATTTGGACTATTCTTAATTATTTAGAGATTGGGGGAAAGGACAGATTTTCTACAAGGAATAGAGCTACTGCAATAATAAGCAGTTTTAGGTTATAAAATGGGTTCGAAAGTGCAACTACTGTTCATCTGTAGATACAGTTTACAACCCCCAGCTGTTCTATGACTGTATTGTGCATTGTTCCTATAGCAATTTCATTCTCTAAGAGTCACAATTATTTATCTGAAAAGAGTTAAATAATGTGCTCCATTATCAACTTTTCTATTTAATGTTTATTCTGTTGGAAACCACAGAAACCCGTTGTGCTTTTAATATCTCTTTTAGTATGCCTGAGTACACCTCCTAGAAATTGATATACCAGATATTTTAGTGGGGCTAAAAAAGTGGAAACTTTTAACACTATATATTAGAATATTAAAGCCATGGACCTAATACGAAGTAGGGCAAAACAATTTCTGAACAGCTTATAGTGTTTTTTTGCAGTTACACATGTTTAAAAATGTATGTAGTGGGATAGTTTTCTATACTGTAAGAAGAATAGTTTACAACTGTTTGAGTGATGAAGGAAATGGGAATTCACGCTATAATCTTTGAAGTTCCCATAAAGGTCCAAGGAAATGTATATCTGGTGATATGTATATGTGTTCAGCTGCCATAGAATGTCTAGCTTTATCATTCCAAGACAAATATACCGATCATCACTGAGTTATGTAGTAATAATATTTAGAACCAAAGGGTATATTTGAAAGATAGCAAAAGCCAAATGTGCCCTTCCTGGATAAATATTTTAATATTATTAAACCACATAGAAAGAGTAATCAGTCAAACCTCAAAAGACTTTCTTTTTATGTGCATTTAGTATACCCACAGGTAATATTTTCGTATTTCTTCATGAGGCTTGTTTTAGCCATGTAAGAAATATAGAAATTTTATTAGAACTCATACATCATATGAACCAATGTGATCCATCCCAAAAGCTTGTCATGTGTGTGATCATTAGTTTTTTTTTGTTTTTTATAATTCATATTTGGTTCAGTTTAACGCTTGTGTAAGAAAGTGAACAATATACAATAAAGAGAACAAGGTATACCATCATCAGACCAGTAAACATTCAAGGGTCAAGCATAGCAGAGTGAATATTGGTAGTTAAACCAGTCAACGGTAGCTGTAATGAAGGTGGACAACAAAGTATAAAGACGAGAGTACTACCCACAAAGAGTAATATAAGAAGAAGAGTTTGAACTTTCATAACTTGGTAAATAAATGAATAGAGGTTTATGTTTTTTTACTAATAGATGGGAAGCTTTCAAATTTTTCCACCTTTTTTAGTGCAGGTAAGCTTGAGTTAGTGGTGAGCCCAACTGCTTTAAGCACCTTAATATGTTAATTCTCACTTTTTCTTGTATGTATAAAGAAAGAAAGAAACAAAGAAACAAAGAAAGAAAGATGGATAGAACAAGATATTTAATTAGCTTAATACAAGAATTAAATACTCCAATAATAAGTATGGATCAGAGAAAACTCGGCCAAATTGTTATAAAAAATGCTTTAACAAATACTTTATTAGAAAGAAGGGTCTCCAGGCACTCACAGTGTCCAAGACATAGGCAAATGTATTGGATTACAGTAGCAGAGCAACATTTTGACCTGCTATGAGGTCTTG